TCCGCCAATCCGCGGATGCGGATTGACGGTTTGGCAGATGGATGCGAATTGGTTTAGCGGTTTGAAATTTTATAAAATTTTCAACATAGTTCAACTTGTGCACTTCCTCAAAAAAAAAAAAAAAAAAAAAAGTATTACAGTCAATGACTTAAAAAAGTATTACAATTACTGCATGTCTCATCCAAAGAAAGAAAGTTTGAAACTTTAGAATATCACAATCACTGCATGCCTCATCCACATATTACAATCACAGCATGCCTCTTCCACATAAAGTATTACAATCTGTGGTTCTTCAAATATAAAAAAAATTCAAACCACAAAAACCATGAACAGAGTAATAGTTGAGATTGTATGTCTCTGTATTGTTACATTTATATATGTTTTGAAAACTAAAACCAACCAGCATATTTCATATTTTCTATTTATTACTTTTAGAGTTAGATTTAAAAACAAAAAAATATAGATAAATAATACGTTTATTTTTTCAATCAAAAAATATATTCAAGTTGAAAACTTTTTTCAACAGAATATTTGAAGTCTTTTCAATTGAAAACACAAACAAAATATTTAAACAAATTGAAAACACAAAATCTATAAAATTACTAAGGGTACTCGCGGTTTGGCGGTTCGGTTGCGGCCAAAAGAACCTCAAATCCGCCATCCGTCCGCCAAATTGGCGGATTGGAAAAAATCAATCCGCAACCGTCTGCTCGTCATCATGCATCCGTCCAACATGCGGCGGATCGGTTCGGTTCGGTCGGTTTTGGCGGATCGGTATATCCGCTGCCCACCCCTACTTATAATAGCGATGTTTTTCCAGACTCATGATGTCGTGGCCTGCTCCTCCATCACTCTTCCTATAATACATTTTTACCGTTCAAATAATAATAATAGATAATAAAATAAAATTAAAAAATTTAACATGTGATTCTTGTAATAAAATAATTTTTAATTTTTAATTTTATCAATATAAATCTTAATCATTTGATTTATTTTCAGTTTAAAACTATTTGTCTATTTTCGTTAATTAAAATCGATGGATAAAGAATATTTTAATAATTAAAATTAAGAATGAAAATTCCTGACACAACACGATAACATGACTCGAATTGTATACGAAATTAGCGAATTAGAATTGAGCATTTTCTAATACGAACCTAAATATGACATGATCTGTGAACGTGTAATAAACAGTTCGTGTTCGAGTTAAACTCGCAAAACCCGAAAATTGGCACGTCTAACCCATTTACTTCAACGTGTAACCTATTAACACAAAACACGACAAATGACCCGAAAATGACCTATTTATGACCTGCGAAGTACATATACACATTTTATAATTATAAATATAATTTGATCAAATTTCATCTCTGTAGACGCGCCCTCGAGGGCCTCATTCGGACTCATTTGTCACGGTTTTTAATCTAATCCCACAATGTGTGATGTGAGATTGATAAAACACAAAGAGTCCAAATTCGGCAAATCGTTTTGAAAATTGATTTTTTAGAAAGAAGTGCCAAACATGGACTGTTTTGCCAGATATAGAATCGCCACCTAAATATTTTATTTTTGGGGAATTTAGGAACCCTGACTCGTGCCTAAGGCCACGTGTCCGTCATCACCAAAGTTGTCTCGGCTCGGGAACTTGGGTACGATTGGGGAAGGTCATTTATGAGCACCCCCGCTCGCCCGATCAAAAATCGGCCACTACTAAACATGATATCGAATTTTTGAAAGCACATGCGTTCTTATTCCGGTTAATTAGTTAATCTTTACTATGTGATGCGCACAGCAAAACAAGTATAGACTAAATTGCCTAATTTGGAACAAAGTATCGCATATCGCTTTATTTGGAAAATGGTTTGAAGTTTGCTACTCGCAAGTAGGCTAAAACACGGATTTCAATGAATTATCCCAATTCAAACAATCCAACCTTCACCCACAGGCATTCAGACAGTTATATCATATAAGCAATTAGCCTCATGGCAAGCATGTTTCATGTTAACACTCACATACATGCAAGATGCTAAAGCATAAACACTCACAGTGTGCTCCGAACCAAAACAAGAAACTAGTTAGTAATCATGCATGATCCTGGTTCATGTCAACAATGACTAATGCACACAATGCAAAATGTAATTAAGATAGGCTCGGCTATCCTAAGAATGACATATGAGATGCGACAATTTGATACATGTATTCAACTTGGAATTGAAACACTACGCAATTAGTATGATGCGCCGAGCCGGTGCGTGCAATATGAATGAATGTATGCAAACATGCTAACATAAGTATGCTAATTGAAACATGACCTAAAACTAACCATCAAAAGCAGGTAAGTAAAAGGAGAAAGACGTGGGGTTGGAAGACATTCACACACGCACGCACACTTATTACAAATTCGCCCTCTCGACGGAGGGTCCAAATAAATAATACAAATCCGAATGATTAATCAACTATCCTAGCTAATTAATTATTACAAACCCTTAATTAATTACACAGAAAAAGGGAGGCCGCCGTAGCTCCACCTCGGAATGATTGAATGATGCATGCTCGATCGCCTTGCTTGGAAACCCGTTGCCATGCACATGTTGCCTCTGTTTGCACTGTTTTGCATCTCTGAAAAAAACATTTTTGCAATTTTTCTTCTTCCTTTTTTTCTTCAATTAGCCTCATGGCAAGCATGTTGTCATGTTAACACTCACATACATGCAAGATGCTAAAGCATAAACACTCACAGTGTGCTCCGAACCAAAACAAGAAACTAGTTAGTAATCATGCATGATCCTGGTTCATGTCAACTATATTACAATCAATGACTTAAAAAAGTATTACAATTACTGCATG